CCCCAAAACCCCAAAACCCCAAAACCCCAAAACCCCAAAACCCCAAAACCCCAAGATTTTATAATTTTTCCAAAAATGGCGAGCATGAATTTTCCAGGTACTAGTCCATCTTAACTTTCAGAGCTGGATGAGATCATACAGAGACAACAGAGAGATGTAGAGGAGGTCAATAAGTGTATAAAGGACAGCAAGCAGCTGACCCATGCCTTGCAGGCCTCTCTGGGTGACCTCTCAGAGATCATCCTCAAGCATGATTCCTCTAATATCGAGTTCGATCATGAGCCATATAAAAACGTAGTTGCTGCTCTCGAGGAAGCTAGGAAAATGGAGAATGATAAAGAATATTTTAAGGAGAAAATTAAGGGCAAAGCTTGGTAAGAACTTTAAAATCTGGGGAGAAAATATAGTTTTTAGAAAAAGGAAAAATTAAACCAAAGAGAGCTCTAGGGAACTTTATGATTAATTTTAAGGTGTTAGATGGGAAATAGGTCCTGAGTTGAGTTACTTGAGGAGGAATGGTGACGGATTGGGAGAAAGTCGCAATTATTAATATGTTGAAATAGGAAAGATGAAGGAATTGGAAGATCACCAGCTAATTTCGAAGGTATTTATTTTACATAAAGCCTTAGAACAAAAATCAGCCCAAAAATTGCCAATGAAGAAAGCCCCAAGTGATCCCTTTGGTAACCTCGAAGAAATGATTCTTGGCAAAGAAGAAACTGAAACCAGAGATATCACAATTGACGATAATACTGATATTTTTTCAAGCAGATCCAAAGCTAAAATCAACCAAGAGGAATCCAGAGGAGATCTATTCGATAAACCAGAAGCAAACTTGGATGACATTATCGAACACCTAACCAAAATTATGAAGCCATTCGACAAGAAAAAGGCTGAGAAAAAGGTCCCTTCAAGGATAAAGATATCGAAATACCTACTTGATTGCAAAAATGATGCTGTGAAGGAAAGTTCTGATGAGTCAAAGATCAAGAAAATCTGCAAGTACATTGCCAATTACTCCCTGGATGTGTATTCAAGTAACCTCAAAGGGATCCACCAGATGTTGTATTTTGAAACCATTGAGATGATGAAGAATGACTATATCGAGCTCAGCTTCCAAAATTATATGGAAAGCAACCCAAAGTTTGACACATTCTTAAACAATCTATTCTCAAGAGCTCGTAATTTTATGGGAGAATTACAAGAGAAGCTAAACAAAAGGAATGATCAATCCTCTGACACTCAGAGTAGTAGTTCTAAAGATGACCCTTTTACTTTCCTCAACAAATACTTTAAATCCGCCCTAAGAATCCTGAGCGCTTCAAACAGTGAATCTAGATTTGGCAGATTCTAAGAATCTAACAAAGTTCAACCAATCCTGACCAAAAAGGGGTTTTGGGGTTTTGGGGTTTTGGGGTTTTGGGG